AGGTATCAACAGTCCGGCAGGAGTCTGTGAGGGAGCAGCAACCATCCTCTGAAGATAGGAATGCTCCTCTGGTCAGAGAAAATGCAGAGAAGTGCACTAAAGGTGACGATGAGAGCGAGGAAAAAGCATCAGATGCTGCTGAACCTAAAGGTAAACCCCATGCCATTTCTTCAGGAGGACCTTCAGATTGCTGGAATGTTAAAGCTGAAGTTCTAAAGAAATGTACTGATAGAACAGCTGAAGTTCGGATGGGTGTCCTTGAAAAGGTTAAAACTGGTTTGCTCAGTGATCCCTTTAGAGATGAAACTCATGGCTGAGAGACTCAGAGACCAGTATCTTCTTGTGAAAAGATATACCTTGGAGAGATCAGATGCTTTTGAACTTGTTCAAGGTCTTGTCCAAAGTGAGGTCATTTCTCTTGAAAAGATATTGCAACAAAAGCAAAGGATACAACAGGAAACACAGATACTGGAAGATTTTAACCTCTGCAACATGGTGCAGCAGGATGCAAAACAGTCCTTGCCTTTGCTCTCTCTTGCTATGCTCTTTCTGGTTATGGAAGGAGTGATGTTGAAGGTTCATATCAGGAAGCTAGGGGTACACAAAGCAGTAAGATACCGGGAAGGAAGAGGGTCCAGGATGAAGATGAAGTTCAAGATCAAGGCTGTGTCCTATCACCCACCTTGAGGACAAGGTGGTTTTTCAAGGGGGAAGATATGATAGGAACCCATTAGTATAAAAATACTAATAATAATAGAAGTATAATAAATAATTGTGATATTGTAGTAAAGGGTCCTGGGCTAGGTATTAGTTAATTGGGCTGACCCATAAGTAAGTATAAATAGTAGGGAGGGGGAAATAAGAAGGCAGGCAAGTATTCAGTTGGGAATAGGCTGGGAGACTGGGCATCTCGAATCGTCCAAGGCTACTATATTCCTCTTTGTACTGTTCATCATCGATAATAAGCATTTCCGATCCTTTCTTCTTTATTTCCTACTGATTCTATACTGTTTTGAGCTAGCAATTATCTCTGTTCTATCAGTCACGCCGTTAAAAAAACGTCTGAAAAAGACCGTTAACAGCAACTCCGATTTTCAAAAGTGCCCGAAAAATTAAAAGAAAAATATCAGAAGGTGCGCCTCAATAAGACGACCGCTAGGCCATATTTCTTTTTTTTGTTTTCAGCCACCCGTCACCGGAAAGTCCACCGGAAAAGTGATATTAGTGAAATCATTTTTAAAAATTAATTCAAACAGATCTGAAAAATCCAAAGGCGAAAGTGGTTTGGAGGTCATCTTGACGAGGCGCATCTTTCGGTATTTTTCTTTTAATTTTTCGGGCACTTTTGAAAATCGGAGTTAATTTTAACGGTCTTTTCAGACGTTTTTAACGGCGTGACCTACTTGTGATAACGGAATTCAAGCACATGAACCACTTTGATATAGAATGAAACATATGACCCTATCTGAAAACGGACCCAACCACAAGTACCTTTTCCGTACTTTTCCCTATCTAAAATGTCAGCTAGGTCAATAAAATGCATTTTTCTTGGATATTCACGAGTCCAAAAGGGTTATCGTTGTTATTCTCCATTACATAAGAAGCATTTTATTTCGGCTGGCGTCACTTTTATCGAGTCCTCCTTTTATTACCCATTATCTTCTGCTGATACTCCATCATGTTTGGACTTCATCTCATATCTCCGGCCCATCCATACAGAAACTGTTCTTTCCCCTCCATCTGATGAGCACCCCCACTGCCCTCTTGTGGTAGACCCTCCTCCATTACAGGTATACCATTGTCGTCCTCGACCTCCTGCCATTGAGCCTATCGTGGCCACGCCAGTTGATTCCCCTATGACGGTTCGTCCATCATCACCATAAACTACCGCACCACCTGAAAACACTCTGGATGATTTGCCCATTGCCCTCCGAAAAGGTACGCGTTCTACACTGAATCCACATCCCATATATAACTTTTTGAGTTATCATCGCCTCTCTACCCCGTACTATGCTTTTATTTCCCACCTGTATCATATATGCATTCCTAAAACCACACATGAGGCACTGGCACACCCAGAGTGGCGTAAAGCCATGTTGGCTGAGATAGAGGCTCTTCGTTCTAGTGGGACGTGGGACTTAGTCCCCCTTCCCGCTGGCAAATCAGTGGTGGGATGTTGGTGGATTTACACAGTTAAAGTTGGGCCTGATGGGAGATTGATCGTTTTAAAGCACGCCTTGGGGCGAAAGGGTATACTCAGATATATGGTTTGGATTACACCGACACTTTTTCTCCTGTAACGAAGATTGCATCAGTTCGTTTGATTTTATCCATGGCAGCAATGAGCCGCTGACCATTGTTCCAATTGGATATCAAAAACGCATTCCTTCACGGAGATCTACATGAGGAAGTTTATATGGAGCAACCACCCGGATTTGTTGCTCAGGGGGAGTCTGGTATGGTGTGCAGATTACGTCGTTCATTGTATGGCTTGAAGCAATCTCCACGTGCATCGTTTGGGAGGTTTAGTGCCGTTGTCTGTAGCTTTGGCATGATTCGCAGTGCTGTTGATCATTCTATATTCTACAGATATTCTGCTGACAACAAATAAATTTATCTTGTTGTGTATGTTGATGACATTGTCATTACAGGTAGCGATGATCAAGGAATTGTGCTCCTCAAGCAACATCTCTTTAGCAAATTTCAAACAAAAGACTTGGGAAAGTTGAGATACTTCCTTGGCATTGAGGTCGCACAGTCTGAAAATGGAATTGCTCTCTCACAAAGAAAGTATGCCTTGGATATTCTTGAGGAAACAGGGTTGCTAGATTGCAGGCCAGTGGATACACCAATGGGTCCGAACGCTAAACTCTTATCAGAACAGGGAGATCTTTTGCCCAACAAGGAAAAATATAGAAGACTCATCGGCAAATTGAATTATCTTACCATCACGAGACCAGATATTTCATTTGCGGTAAGTGTTCTTAGTCAGTTTTTTGATAAGCCATGTACTGGACATTGGGATGCAGCTATCCGAGTTTTGAGATACATCAAGAAAACTCCAGGACAAGGATAGGACAAGGATTGTTGTTTGAAGATCGAGGCCACCACGATATTTTGGGATACTGTGATGCAGACTGGGCCGGATGTCCGATGGATAGACGTTCCACATCGGGATATTGCATCTTGATTGGTGGAAACTTAATTTCATGGAAAAGTAAGAAACATGATGTGGTTGCCAGATTTAATGCTGAAGCAGAATATCGTGCAATGGCCCTTGCTACATGTGAAATCTTATGGTTGAGGCATCTCCTCCAAGAGTTAAAATATGGAAACACAAAACCGGTTCAACTTATGTGTGATAATCAAGCTGCAATGCACATTGCATCAAATCCGGTATATCACGAGAGGACGAAACAAATTGAAGTTGATTGTCATTTTATCCGAGAGATCACGAGTGGACATATCATCACAAAATATGTGAACACAACTGAACAACTTGCAGATATTTTAACTAAGACTCTCAGAGGTCCTAGAGTGGGATATATTTGTAACAAGCTTGGTACATATGATTTATATGCTCCAGCTTGAGGGGGAGTGTGAAAACCCTAGTAGTATTGGGCTTAGCCCATTTGTATATCTTGTATAAGAAACCCTAGTACTCTAAATATAGCTATAAATATAACTTCTTGTATAGCACTTTATCATCAAGTATATGAACTACAACAATACTTGTTCACAGACTACTTTCAGTCCCAGACCAGACTTGGACAATTATAAAATACACAGAAACCAGACCAGTTCAGACCAGACCGCAAGGTTGTTAAACTCGAGATCCTAGCACGGATCAGATGAGGATTGGAAAATCGTAACTCGTGGATCGTAAGATCTTAAAATCAAAGCTCATATGTAATATTTATAAAACATACATCTGTATTAAGTTATATTTAAAATTCTTTTAATTCACTCTTAATAATAAATTACTTAAATAACTTCATGACCATTATAAAATATGCATCTATAATTAATTAAATTTAAAATTATTTTAATGTACCCTAAGTAATGAATAACTTAAATAGGTTTATGGCTATAAAATAAGACTTATTAATATGGATATTAAGAGATTAAAAAATACGAAGTATGTCTCAATTGTGGATATGAAGAACTGGTATCTAGGGGACAGAGTGAAAAATAAAAAAATATTCTCGTCTAAGAAGAGAAACAGAGGAGTTGCAAATGACCGACTTATACATTAACTGGGTATTCACATTAACTATGACTTTTCGTAATTTACGTTCCATTTTAAGACTTTTAGGACATTGCGACTTTTGGAGTTCCAATGTCAGATCTTTTCCATATTCGCTGAACAGTACTCGACCCAGCCTTGCGGCTTCTCTCTAGCAGATCACACGGAACGCTGATCCGGCGTTTTTACGATCCAGCTCGTCGATCCCACGATTCAGCCATGTTTTCCGATCATTAGCACGATCCAGATCGTCCAAGTGCACTTTACTCGCAAGATCGGACGATCTTACGAGTTGACACGCGATCTTAACAACCTTGCCAGACCCGACCAGAAAATTCCAGTCCAAGTAAAAGCATCCTAATATAATATAAAATGGAACTATGTGTTGTGGGTGATGCAAACCATGAACTTATTGTTGTAAATAAGCTATGTGACACCTAATTTATAATGTTGTTAGACAATAACGTATAACTTTACCGCTCAAGTAATCGAATTCAACTATTCAAGAGATTGATAGGTTTAACATTCTTAGCATATAGGAATGTGTCAGTTTTTTCAATGAAACCCCACCGGAGCCATACTGGTAAGTTCTAAGAATAGATGCCTACTATTCTACTACCTCTAGAATTTTGATTTAAAATTGTGCGGTGAGTTTCTTAAAAGCCTCTTTTCTCACCATCCAGGTTCTGTATAAGGCTATCACTACTTGAAGACAGTACAAGAATAAAGAAAACAAAGGTCTTCAACAGCTCACCTGCCATCGGAGTGCAGAATGACAGATACAGTAACAGCATTGCACTGTTTCCCTTGCTTAAGACTCATGCCTTGCATGGCCAAAGTTTCAGGAAACATTGGATAAGTAGCAGTGGGCAAGAACAGGGAAGTTCCTCTTCTCCTAGCTTCTCTGAGAAGTAACAGAACTATCAAATAGAATCTAAATACTATTACCTCCGTCCCGAAAAGGTTCGCCATATTCACTTTTCTTGGTCAATGATGACAAACTTTGGATAATGATTTTCATTATTATATTTGTATTTACGTTATAAATTTTATACTAATGAAAATATTTTGAATAAGGAACATATTGATATAATTTTCATATTCTAAATAATTTCGTATTAAACAATATTATTAATCAAAGTTGATAGTCATTGACCAAGAAAAGTCAATTTGGCGAACCTTTTCGGGACGGAGGAAGTAGCTGTTTTCTAACTAAATTAGCATGCAGTATGATTATAATGTACTTGTCTATAATGCTCCCTGACTGAACTAAGCTAGTTGGATCTGCAACATGTACCCAGACTCGTATCCGGCCATCATCAAGCCTTGTTGCGCTCAATGCATCATCAAGCTGCATGTGCTCACACATTGGCTACTTTCTGTAGGGCTGCTTATATTTGGAGAACAAACATTACATCAGCAAAACAGAATCACGTACCTCATCAGCTTCATCAACATCTATTGCGTAAACCTTCAGGTGAGTCAGATCTATTCTATCAACCTAAAAGTAAATGCTTTTGTAAGCAAATAAAATGATAATTTTATCCCATTATACCCTTCCAAAGAGTAACATTGAGATTTGTTTGATGTGAGTTTTAGTTTATGAGCAATTTTGCATAGTAATGTGTACAAAAGCTGTTCATTCAAAGGGCAGAACAGTGATTTCTCAAAGCAGACTAATGTCATCCATTCATTGATAGAGAGAGACTGTGATCTGGATCCGGGGGAGTTAATTTCATGAGGAGATAATATGCAAACAAACCAAATTGAATCCAGATGATAACATTGATGTATAGATGGAAACGATTGGTGGAGTAACTTAACTCGAAATAGTTACTAGTGTGGTGGCTACCTCATTCAAGATCTAGGGAGAAAGAACAGGAAAGAGGAAGAGCCAATAGGGACTTCAGTAGTTCAGGATATATGATTTTGAGATAAAATAAAATAAGCCTAAAACAACAACATTTAAGCCTAATTCCCGAAAGACCTTGGGGTCGGCTAACACGAATCAACATATGATATTGGAGTTAAAAAATATTGGATAGAGAAAGAGGGAGATGTTGAGGTGTAGGAGCAGCAGCCAGCCCTAGCTGGGTCTGTTTTTGGTGGCAGTCAGGCCTATGTTTAATTAAGAATTTACCCTAATTGTTTGCATATATATACTGACCCCCGTGGATTAGATCAGTAACATCTACTGGCTGAACCACGTTAAATTCATGTGTTTTTCTTTTCTTGTTTTCCAGATTTGTGTGTGTTCTAACCCTAACAACTGGTATAAGAGCCAGGTTAGCCACCGCCACAAATCCAACCACCACCACCGCTGTCACCCTGTGTCCTCTGATACCATTTGTAGGATTGAAGCGTTTGCCGCTACACTAAAAACGATTACCACACTGTGTTCTCTGATACCATTTGTAGCTTTGTAGGATTGAAGCATTTATCGCTACACTAAAAGCAAACGCTAATAATGTAGCTCGCTTTCTCCCCTTATGGCCCGGGGAGACTAGCATTTATGAAGGGCTGAAGCTTAAGAGGAGACAAACAATATAAAATCAAACCTCCACACATATACTCTTCCTAAACATATGCCTCTCATACCCAAGTAGTATCATATTATTCCAAGGTAAAATAAGCCCAAGGTAGCTCGGCCTAGTCAAGACACAATATTTAACTCTTGAAAGATAAGCATATTGAAATTTGAGGAATTTCTTTTAGCTATCACAAGAGCCCTAATCATAATAAGAAACATAAAGCTAAACGCTAAAAGGCTAAATGAGAACATGACTAAAACTGAATAAGGAAATAAGAATAATAAGACTTCATGGCCCTCCCGTTGTCCCTAACAGGAGACACACCTGCTTCATTACTGCCCTCATTGACATCTAGCGTGTCTGCAAGCTTTAAGAAAGTAATAAATGCCAAGTTTGTCCACAATCAAACGGCACCATTATAAACCAATGATCAAACGAAAACATTAGATGTTGTAACGGTCAAAGATCTCGATGTGCTCCCTCATGATATTAGGATGGGAAAATACATTGAACTTAACTGCAATGTGAGTTTAGACCAGTTGTTCCTCATCAGCTCCCAAATGCCTTCATTTTTAAAATACCCGCAGAGAGTTTTGTGCGATTAGAGAGGTATGGAATTGTTGTGGTGGAGTTATTGGCAGCCACAGCAGGACGGATGCCACTCATGAGGGTAAAGGTGTCTTGTGGTGGTTACAACTCCAATGCTATTGTGTCATGGAAGATTTAGTGTTGGTTTTTTTATAGAGAGCAAGGAGAGCAAGGGGGTGGTACGGAAGAGGAAGGTCTGATATCCAGGACTCTGTTGGTTTACTGCAGGCGGGAACAGGCTTGGGCCCACCTCCGTGGGCAGGTAGTGGACTGAGGTTTTAGTTTTATTTATTATTATAAAGTTTATGTTATGTTTTCTAGTTTGGGCCTATTATTAGTAGAGTATTTAGTAGAGTTAAATTGGGCCTAATTAGGGTTTACTTAATTTGGGCTCGACTAGGGTTTCTGTTGAGTCTGTTACTAGAAGGGTATTTATACCCCTTGTTAGGATTCATTCTTGTCATTAGTTAATAAAATTGAATTTCAGCCTCTTGGCTTCTGGGCAACGGTTTCTACCGTTGGTTATTCTGGGCAGCAGTTTATTCCGTTTTGATTTTTATTTTATGTTCTCATTAATTGGGTGCCTGCTGGATCCCGTCCCGCCGGAATGAAGAGATCACACATCGATGGTTTGACAGAGCTGCGGTCCGAGCAAGCCAGGATGAACGAGAAGTTGGATGCGCATGGCATCCGACTGGAGGAGATCAGCTTCTCTCGTTGCACACATGAAGGCTGTGGTCCCGCCGAAGAAGGAGCCCGTGTCAACCAGTGACGCCGCATCTACGCATGCGGTCGACGGAGGGTCGCGCAGCACGGCAACCAACCTGCTACCCGCGTTTGATGGCGAAGACCCCATCGGATGGATGGCTAGGGCTGAACAACAATTCGAAATCAATCAAACCCCACCTGGAAGAAAAGTGGCAGCAGCTATGGTAGCCATGGAAGGGGCTGCCCTGTGCTGGTTGACCTGGTTGAAGGCACGGAAACCGGGCATGGCTTGGGAGGAACTGGTTGACCTGATAACAATGGTTATAATACTGATAATAATGTGCATCTTCCGTCCATATCAGACACACAAGAATTAATTATTTAAAGATAGTACATTTCTTGGAAAGCAGGCGTGGAGAGTAGTGAATGACCCTGATGCTCTGGTGAGCCGTATTCATAAAGCAAGATACTTTCCCAGGTGTTCTTTTGTTGAGGCAGCAGCTGGCAGTGATCCGTCCTTCATTTGGCAGAGCCTTCGCAAGGCTCAGAAGGTGATACGAGAGGGACTTAGATATCGGGTGGGAGATGGCAGCACAGTAAGTGTTTGGAATGACGCATGGCTGCCAGATGAGAAAAATGGAAGAGTGGTCACTATCCCACCAATTCCATTACGAGATATCACGGTATGTCGGTATCTCAGCTTATGTGTAATGGCGGGGATGCCTGGGATATTGATGTTGTTAATGATATTTTTGAGGATCGAGATAAGAAAATAATTCTCAGTATTCCCTTAAGCAATCGTAGAGTAAGAGATGGTATTTATTTAGCATGGGAAGAGAGGTATTTATACGGTAAAGAGCTGCTAAAGACACTTGATGGAAGAGTTTAGGCCGGATGGATGGCTGGGGTGGGTAAAGATGTGGCGGTACCGGATTCCTCCAAAGGTAAAACACTTCTTTGGCAAGTTTGTTCCGGATTTTTACCCACAGCGACAAGATTACGAGGGAGGAAGTAGATGTACCTGTGATGTGTAGTCTCTACAATGGAGGAGAGGAAACCGAGCTTCACTTGTTTGTTCCAGATGTTTACCCACAGCGACAAGATTACGAGGGAGGAGAGTAGATGTACCTGTGATGTGTAGTCTCTACAACGGAGGAGAGGAAACCGAGCTTCACTTGTTTGTTGACTGCCCACTTGCACATAAAGTGTGGCACCTTGCGCAGCCTACCGGAGAGCTTCCTCTTTTCTTGATTGGGTTAAGATAATGTTTAGTCAGAAAAGTGAGGAAGAATGTTGCAAGTTGATCACTCTTTGTTGGAGCATTTGGCAGGCACGAAATGACAAGGTTTGGAATCAAATTAACAGAGAAGCAAAAAGCATCATTACTCATGGCGAGGCTTTACTCTCAAGTTGGCGGGCTGCTCAAAGACCAGTAGCTACTAAAAGTATAAACAGCCAAGTTGGGTGCGATCATTGGGTAAGGCCAGATGCGGGGTGGATTAAACTGAATACCGATGCAGCAATTTGTGATCAAAATGGTCAAAGGGGATTTGGGTGGATTGCCAGGAACGCAGCCGGCCAATTTCTGGCTTGTGCTTCAACCCCATGGCCTGGTATCTGCTTGGTTAAAGAGATGGAGGCACTAGCGATTCGGGAGGCTTTGCTATGGTCAAAGTCACAGGAATGGGAGAAAATTGTAGTGGAAACAGATGTGCTTCATGTGGTTTCTGGACTAGCCGAAGGACTAGCCGAAGAACCTGGAAGCTCCTATTTTGACCTTATTTTAGATGATATTAGAGTCATGACCACGTCTAACGTGAATATTAATATCTCACATGTGAAACGATCTTCGAATCGGATAGCTCATAAGCTTGCTAGAGTTGTCATTTTTTTGTCAAATAGTAGAGTTTGGTTGAATGTTTCTCCTTCATTTATTGTAAGCCTTATGGCTAATGATTTGCTTAATTAATTTATAGAATTTTCTTTACATTTCCATCATTTGCAATGGAGCCAAAGACTCACTATTTTTTTGCTTGGAAATATGATGGAATAAAGCAAAATGGCTCACTAAACTGTCTGCGCTTCTTTATTATGAAGCAACAGTCAGTCCATGTAATTTCTGTCGCGATTTTCACCGTGGGTCATTCGGAAACAGTCTCTTTGTGCTTTAGTACAGGGGTAAGGTTGCGTACATCTGACCCCCTTACCCCACCGTTGGTGGGAGCCTTTGCGGCGCTGGGGTAATGATGATGATGATGAATTTTCTTTACAAGAAAAAAGGAGGAGGAGGCGGAGGCGGAGGAGTAATAATAACAATAATAATAATAATTAGCCCTAAGTGGGACTAAAAATAGTCCTAAATGCAACAATAGGACTATAATTTTTTTAATCAGGAGAGATGTATGTTCTTCCTATTCTCCCCTCTTCCTATAATTCCTAATATACTCCGTATTTATTTTATTAATAGGAAAATCATAGTTTTATTTATCATAAAAATATTTAAAAAATAGAAAGTAATATAAAAGCGGAAAAAAATATAATGAATACAAAAAATCAAAATAAAATAAAGATATAATAATTTAAAAAAAACTTAAAAAATCTAATAAAATAAAATACCTAAAAATATAAAAAATATGTAGGCCTCTGCCACCGCATCTTCCACCTCCCAGCACCACCAGCTCTGATCGCCAGAAAAAAATGTTATCTTGTGTATAAAAGGCGACATTCCTCTGAAAATGTCATGAAGATGACATGTTTACTTTTTGAAAATATCCAGCTTTCTTTTCAAAATTGCCATCATGATGACATTTTTTTTCAACTTGGCATTCTTTTCTGGGATCGTAGGTGGCTGAGGTGGTGGTTGAGGCCTGTATATTTTTTATTTATTTTACTTTTTTATTTTTTTATGTTTTATTATTACTACGGGGTATTATTTAAAAATTCCTATTAAGAATGACAAGGGAAAGGATAGAATAGGAAGCGTTAGTACCGTTGTGACTCACACAGTCCTTTGTGTGGTCCTAACACAAGACACACCCGCAGTTACACATCAGAAGTTAACTCCACCAGATCCAAATTTGAGAGACTCATAGGATAAATGGTTCAAGCAAAAAAATTGGAATCTATCTAAATTAGGGATTTGAGTCACATGATACCTTCATACCTCACACATGCTAGTTGACTCTAATAAAATATTGTCTGCAGCCAATACAACATCATCCCGATGATCAGTAGGAAGGTTCAGTTTTAATAAATCAAGATTGACATGTACAGGGAAATATCCAATATTCATAAGAAGAGTAACTGCTGAGGATGACGTTTTAGCCATGCCCATGGCTTTGAGGATCTGACAGTGGACAAAACAGACAAATAAAAACCCCAGTATGAGCATGTAACCTCTGCAGCATCGATTAGAAAATTATCTGAAAAGGTAAGATAAAATTGGCATCCCAAAACCATTTACACGTGTCTTCCCTAAACCACCTTACAATTGAAGACAAATATAGTAATTGGCAAAAATAAATAGATCAGGAAAGTAGGAAACAACTCATCTCACCGCCCCTGCCAATCTCTTTCGGTCATCATTGATAAAATTATCAACAGCAAAATCTTCAAGAGACTGGATTTTCTCCCAATTTTTTGTTTCAGTCATCCACATAGCTTTTGGAGGTTTGGCATGTGGAGGCCTCTCTTTAATAGATTTTAGCAACTGAATGAACTCCTCAAGTTCTGTCTCATCAGCCTCTTTAGCAATCTTCCTTTGTAGAAGTTCATGTACCTTTAAAAAAAATAGTTAACATTGTTAACCACTTAACTCTAAGAATATCATCGGACCCAATTAAAATGAAACATTTTGAATTACACAGCAAAGTAATAACCATGATTTACGTTGTTGGTAGACAACTAGAAGAGCAGAAAGTATAAACTTAAAGTCACTGTTCTAGCATTATGAATCATGCTTCATGCCCATATGTTGATGACACACATTAAGGTAAAACCGTAAAATACTGAGCTAAGTAAAATTACAATATAATGCACAATGAATATGGCATATTCTAGTACTGAAAACACACGTAGCATGCAAGTAACATAAATAGTGCAACAGGATGAACCAAAATTTTATTTAACGTACTAACCAGATCGTCGAAACAAGAAGAGGAATGATAATATGATAATATCAGATGTGACCACAAAGAAAAAACAGAGTACCTGTCTAGGGGGTCGAGGTCCATAAATAGAATGAGAACCTTTAGTCCCCAAACGAGTGAAGTATATGTCATCTCTAGATAATAAAAGATGGGTACAATAGCTCTCAAGAGGTTCCGCACTACCAAAAATCATCTGTTAAGATAGAACGCGGTCAATATTAAAACAGAACAGCTGAATTACAAACAGATCAAATCTACACCTCTGCCAGTTCATCCAGCGTGACAGATTTATTATTATCAAGAAGCTCATTCCATGCAAACTCAAGTAGAGCAGGATCCTTTAAAAGAAAAACATTGTAAAACAAGGTAAGCTTTAAAACAAAAAAGAAGAGAGGAGGAAGTGAAATATATACTTTCAGATCACACAAGTCACTACCAGGTTATCACACGCTTTCTGGACAAAGTTTGATATGTTGATGGGGTCAAAATTATCAATCCCAGGAACAATAAAAGTAACTTGCTGTGGTTTAATTGAGGCTGTTACACCATTCTGCACCATTAGGAGTAAGAAAATCAGACCAATCACTTCAGTGAGACTAATAACATCTTATACATGTCTTGCAAACCTGATCCAAGACCATCCAATTCTTTTTCCCATCAGGTCTGAGAGCAACTGCTAGCAATAGCCTTTCAGTGTCCTTCTTGAATTCTAGCAGCAACCCCCTTTGCATAGTCCGCTTTTCTACTTTGTCTTGGAAAAGCTCATCAGTGCTTGTTAATCCCAATCTGCATTAGGCTACTAATCATTTCTGACACATGATATGTAAAGATAAGTTCACCACATATGTATGCTTAACACAATCATAAGATTATAGTTGTGACCCTTTTATTTGAAAATAGTAATGGTTTAGTTCAGCAGTAAAGATGCATATATTAACAATCATACTATAAGAGTTTCATTTCTTGATATGTAAATTTCTTGTCAAACTCCATGTCTTGACTTAGATTGTAGGGTAATTAGATCCCAAAAGGTAAGTCACATCTCCTCGTGACCTCATCGGTATGAAATACTAGTCAATCCCATGATTCTTTTATTCCAAGAACAATGTAGCAGATGGGTGTCTGTCTTTTCGGATGTACCCAAAAAGATTGTTGCCTAAGTCTGCAGAAACTTATTGGCATCTTTAAAGTAAATCCTATACTCATTTTCTCAATTCAAATCCAATGCAATGCAATGGGCTTCTATTTTAATACTTGTATAAGTTTAGTCTATAACGAATTGCGAAATGGAAAGACTTGGTATGCATATGGGGGGTCAAATGACAGAGAGGTACTCGGAAGAAGCATGAATTTGCCATTGTTTGCGCATCGATTGCAGCTCTTCCATGACGGTTTGAAATAAGATTTGGACAGAGTAACTCCGAACACTGCCACGACCGATCGAACAAAGTTCGGAACGGGGAAATGAGAACCGAGAATGCAAACTATGGTATCTCTGGAACCGCCGTATACTGAACTGGTGCTGGGTATGCCAGCTCTGTAAGTTCGTCGCCAACAACGGCGGATGAGACGAAGCGGAGCGGCAGCTATTCATGGCGCGGGCTGCCATTGGGCTATTCCATGGGTTCCTATCCTCTGCTCGATCTATATATAATCTGGAAAATTCTATGGTACATGCATTAATTTCTGGAAAATTTGATTATAATCCCCCATTTATTTGGAAAAATAGTCTCATTTTTATTGTGAAATGAAGAAGATGAAGACTAAATTTAAGAGATAGATATATAGATAAAAACTTCTAAATTACTTCTTCTTAATATCTGAAATTTCTGAGTACCTGAATGAATTTACAAGGTCATCAAGCTCCTATTTATAGTGTTTAAGCTTGATGATTAGTTACCTAAATGATGAGTCTACAGATTTGGTGGCAATAACAAATTGAGCCACCTATTCTAACTAGGTTACAAGTATCATTACAAAGATCAGGAACATCTTGGTGTCCTAGTGACAAGGATGAATAATTCACACTTGTCAATTTGATGGTTTTACAACACTCCCCCTTGAATGTTCATCCTTGAGAATAGTTATTTGTATTTAAAAATTTATTGTGAAAATTAGTGTGAAAATTAAGGGGTAAAGATTATGACATATAATGTCGTTGTATTTGGATGTACCGTCTCGTTAAAAACCTTATCAGGAAAAACCCAGTGGGATAAAAACCTGATGAAGGGAAAAAGAGTGCAGTGCATTCAAATACTCCCCCTGAATTTAGCATAAATTATTAAGGCGGCGCATTCCGATTTTCTGTACAAGTTCAACGAACTTCTTCGGGGGTAAAGATTTGGTGAAGAGATCGGCTGGATTTTCACTGGATCTGATTTGCTGAACGTTGATCGTCCCTTCTTTCTCAAGGTCGTGAGTAGAAAAAAAAACTGGTGATATGTGTTTCGTTCTGTCTCCTTTGATGTAGCCTACTTTAATTTGAGCTATGCACGCAGTGTTGTCTTCGTAGATCACGGTCGGGTGATAAGTAATAGGCTTCACACCGCATTCATTTTGGATGTGTTGAATCATAGATCGCAGCCATACACATTCTCTTCCGGTTTCATATAGTGCAATTAACTCCGAATGATTTGATGATGTAGCTGTCAACGTCTGTTTCATAGATCTCCACGAGATTGCGGTATTACCATAAGTAAATACGTACCTGGTTTGTGGTTTTGCCTTTTGAGGATCTGATAAGTATCCAGCATCTGCATATCTGATTAAAGCAGTTTTTGCATCTTTGTGGTAGAATAGACCGAGATCAATTGTACCACGGAGATAACGGAATATGTGCTTGATCCCGTTCCAATGACGTCTTGTTGGACATGAGCTGTACCTAGCTAATAAATTTACAGAAAATGCAATATCTGGTCTAGTATTATTAGCTAAATACATTAAAGCTCCGATAGCACTCAGATATGGTACTTCGGGACCGAGTATATCTTCGTCGTCTTCTCGTGGACGGAATGGATCATCGTGTATGTTGAGAGATCGAATGACCATTGGTGAAGTCAAAGGATGAGCTTTGTCCATATAGAATCTCTTCAACACTTTCTCGGTGTAATTGGATTGGTGGATGAAAATTCCATTCTTCAAATGCTCAATTTGAAGTCCGAGACAAAATTTGGTTCTCCCGAGATCTTTCATTTCAAATTCTTTCATAAGATATTTTGCAGTGTTTTCAATTTCATCGGGAGTTCCAATAATGTTTAAGTCATCAACATATACTGCAATTATGACGAATCCAGAATTTGATCGCCGAATGAAAACACGTGGACTAATTGGATCATTCTTATATCCTTCTTTGAGAAGGTATTCACTGAGACGATTATACCACATTCGTCCCGATTGTTTTAGTCCATGCAATGACTTTTGTAATTTAATGGAAAACATGTCTCGAGGTTTCGTGCTATAAGCTTCAGGCATTTTAAATCCTCCGGGAACATTCATATAAATGTCTGTATCGAGTGAACCGTATAGATAGGCGGTCACTACATCCATTAGGCGCATTTGCAGCCTTTCAAAAACAGACATGCCGATGAGAAACCTTAATGTAGTTACATCAACTACTGGAGAATAGGTTTCTTCATAATCAATTCCCGGCATTTGAGAAAAACCTTGGGCAACAAGTCGGGCTTTATATCTAACAATTTCGTTTCTCTCATTGCGTTCACGCACAAATACCCATTTAAAACCCACAGGTTTTACGCCTTTTGGCGTAGGGACTATCGGTCCAAAAACATCACGTTTTTCAAGTGATTTTAATTCAGCCTGAATAGCTTCATTCCATTTTGGCCAATCTTGTCGTTTCCGACATTCTTCAATTGATGTTGGCTCATTGTCATTGTTTTCGTTCATTACATTCGTGGCAACGGCATAGACAAATATCTCATTAATATCAATATCTTTTCGATTCCATTGCATTCCAGTAGAAACGTAGTTTATTGAAATTTCATAATTATCAACGTTTCTATCAGTATCTGGAATATCTTCCTCATTTAAGGAAGTTGGATCATTATTTGAGATGTTTGTTCTGTCAATATCATTTTCTATGCCAGTATTTTCAAATTGTTCATTTTCTTGTTCAGAAGGATGAACATCTTTGGCATCACAGATCAATTCCTGCCTTTTAGTTTTTCTTGGTTTTATATCTTTTGATCCAAGTGGCCTGCCACGCTTTTTGCGTATAGAAGAATCAATTGCAAGAGATTTTTCAGAATTCTCCGCTGGAATTTCAATTCTGGCAGGGGCATTCATAGCAGGAATATGTGACTTTGTCACTTTCTTTGTGTCTGTGAATGCATCATGCAACTGATTTGCAACATTTTGTAAATGGATTATCTTTTGCACCTCTTGCTCACATATATTTGATCTAGAATCAAGGTGTGACAATCCTGTTGCATTCCATGTTATTTCTTTCGTACTTGGGTCCGATTTATTAGTTTCTCCCCCTAAGGTTGGGAATACTGTCTCATTGAAATGACAGTCAGCGAACCGTGCGGTGAATAAGTCACCAGTCATCGGTTCAAGATATTTGATTATTGAGGGAGATTCAAATCCAACGTAAATTCCCAACCTTCTTTGAGGACCCATTTTTGTACGATGAGGTGGAGCAATCGGAACATAAACAGCACAACCAAATATTTTTATGTGTGCTAAGTTTGGCTCTTGTCCAGTATCTAATTGCATTGGGGAATATTCATGATATGCAGTCGGTCTAAGCCGAACTAAATTTGCTGCATGCAAAATAGCATGTCCCCAAGCTGATGAAGGTAAATTGCACTTCATTAATAATGGTCTAGCGATTAATTGTAATCGTTTAATCAAAGATTCAGCAAGACCATTTTGTGTATGGACATGAGCAACAGGGTGCTCCACATCAATCCCAATCGACATACAATAGTCGTTAAATGATTGGGATGTAAATTCTCCTGCATTATCAAGTCGGATTCTCTTTATAGAATGATCCAGAAAATGAGCTCTTAATCGTATAATTTGAGCAAGGAGTTTAGCAAATGCTAAATTTCTAGTCGATAAAAGACTAACATGTGACCAACGTGTTGAAGCATCAATCAACACCATAAAATATCGAAATGGTCCACATGGCGGGGCTATCGACCCACAAATATCTCCTTGAATCCTTTCTAAAAATGCAGGTGATTCAGTTGCAATTTTGTTCATAGAAGGCCTGATGATCATTTTGCCAAGAGAACAGGCCTTACAAGGAAAATCACTTGATAATGGAACCCTGATATTCTTTAATGGGTGTCCAAGTGAAGTCTTAATGATTTTATGCATCATTACTTGGCCTGGGTGACCTAAACGGTCATGCCACAACATGAATGTTTTCTGATCATCTAATTTTGCATTAGAAACCAAATTTATTTCGAATGGACTAATATAAGTGAAATATAGTCCTGAGGAATAAGTTGACATTTTTTCACAAATATGTTTAGTGCCAGATTTAGTTGTCGTAAGACAAAGATATTCCTTTTGGTTTTCATTCATGGTTTCTATGTGATAACCATTTTGACGCATATCTTTAAAGCTTAATAAATTTCTCCGCGATTTGCTGGAGTATAAAGCGTCATTTATAATTATTTTTGTCCCGTTAGGGAGCATCACATATGCTTTCCCAGAGCCTTCAATGAGCTTCGCAACACCTGATATTGTATTGACTTTAGCTTCAACTAAAGTCATTTGAGAAAAATATATTTTATTTCTCAAAATGGTGTGCGTTGTAGCGCTGTCTATCAGACATAATTCTTGATTCATATCTTCAATATAAGTAAATAAACATAAGCTTGATCACAAATTATGCATATTATTTAACATAAAAGTACATATATTACACACTTATTTATGAATACAACATAAAGGTAACCTAAAGAAAAAGTACACAATGACATAAACTACTATTTTACAATATGTAAGAGTCTTATAATTTATTTTGTGTTATTTTGATCAGTGGCAAATGCATCGTCCATTATGCTATCATCCATGAAGAAGTCGGACACATCAAATTTTGGCAGAGATGGAGTTGTGTCATTGACATAATTCGCTTCCACATTTTTACCTTTGTTCAAATTCATGGAAGCTTGAAATAACTCCACAAGATGCTTTGCAGTACGGCATTTGTTAGCCCAGTGTCCCGTCATGCCACATTTGTAACAAGTCGTCTTCACCGAGGTTTTTGTAGGGCGATTTGTTTGATGGGCTTTTTGTTTGCCCTTGCCCTTGTAATTTGGTCTTTCAACCCGTTTATATCCTCGGTGGGACTTGTTATTATGACCATTAAAATTCCCACGTTTAAAATGCCTTCGTGTGCCACTGTGTGTTGCGTTTGATTCAGTGGCAATGTTATGTCCAGATGGACCATAAATCGAAGGACTAGAACCAGTGGGTCTCAAATTATGATTTTTCATCAAAAGGTCATTATTTTGCTCAGCGACCAATAAAACTGATATAAGGTCGGAGTATTTCTTAAAACCCTTTTCTCTGTATTGCTGTTGTAGCAGCATATTAGAAATATGCATTGTAGAAAAGGTTTTCTCCAACATATCAGCATCAGTGACTTTTTGCCCACATAACTTTAGTTTGGATGTTATTTGGAACATAGCAGAA